ACCCGAACCGGTGAAAACCCCATGAATAGAAGATCGATCAAACCGCGTATGTACGAAAATCTCTCAGCTGGCCCTGAACGTAATCCCGTCTTCTTGTATAAACTGTACAAAGCTAAACGACCGGAGTCGTATATGGACAACAATGCTCCATTCTATCTCGGCGTAAACCACGCGAGTGCCAGTAAGGCAGATCTGCCAGGACTGAAATGGTTCAAACCTTAACCAATGGGTGTAAACAAATTAAACTCCCTCATGAAAGATTGTGCACAACTGGCTGGAATTGGAAAAGACAAGCGAATAACAAATCACAGCGCTCGAAAAACACTTGTTCAAAAACTACAAGACAACAATGTTCCTCCAACCCAAATCGTACAAATAACCGGTCACAAAAATTTGCAGTCAGTTAACAATTATAGTTCATTGAGAGAACAACAACAACAAGACATTTCTTCGATCTTGTCTTCGGTGCCGAATGTGGGTAACGCACGATCGTCGCTCTCTTCGCAGGAGACCATTTCGTTCAGTGTGAAGCAAGATGCTATTAATCCATCCTCGTCGCTTTTTCAGGGCAATTCCATCACAGGGGGCACGTTTAATATCCACATATCTAGCGCTTCGTCTTCTGCGTCGAACACAATGATAGGCGCTAGTCCGAAAGCTAAGAAACTACGACGACTGTTACCTCTTGAAAGTGATAGCAGTCAAGATGACAGCCAGGAAAAATGAACTGAAAACCGTTTGTTGAACATTATTTTTATTTACTGTATATAGTCGTCCTATACTGTTATAAATTTTGTTTGAAAGTTATACCGTTTTTGGCACTGTTTAACATATAAGTTGCATTCATACACAATTTTTTCATTCCTGTATGAATTTTGTAATAAATTTGTTTGGATTTTATTCGTTTGAGTTATGGTGGTGTAGAAATATTGTTTATATAATAAACAGAACAATACATGTGTGCTTGGAAATACCAGATTTATTTCTCGTGTTAAACATGATATCTCACTCGTTCGCTGCGCTCACTCGTGAGATATCATGTTCAACACTCGAAATAAATCTGGTATTTCCGCGCACCCATGTATTATTCTCTATATATTTCATTATATGTGCGAGTTGCGTGACGGTATAAAATCTACTTTTGAGCTTTCACAGGGCTTTTTACTACATTTAGTTTTCTCGTAGTTTTTTGTGCAGATACGTTATTTTTCTAACTTAGATTACTAAAGCAATAATAGTGACTACGATTTATTTTATAGACTTTGAAATTAAACAAGGCTAATACCCAGGCCATAAAATAAGAAAACCTGAAAATTTCTTGATCTCGCAATTTTAACTTAAGAATTTATTTTTGCATATAGTTGCCTGTATGTTATTTTTTTTTGCAAAATAGTGTAAATAAATGTTATGTTATGTTATGTTTTAAAAGGCATCCCACTATTTCTGTCACTCAGGGGTTGGCAGGTCTGTAGTTTGGATTACATAAATATTATTTGATTTTAAAATTATATAGTTTTATGTTTATAACTATATATGTTTACATGTATAATGAACTGCAACATGTGGTGAACATGTTTTTGGTATTGTAATTATTTACAGTGTTGCCTTGGCATGGAGTTCAAAAACCCCAATGTTGCAGGAGAGATGGCCCAGATGATGATTACAAATCAAGATCGATATGTTCCATCAATGGTCACTAGCAGCTGCTGCAAGAACGAAGTATTGGCTCCTGTTGGATTCCAAGGTGACCAACTATTCGAAGAACGGGCTCGAAATGTCCAGTGGACATTTCGAGTTGGGAACAGTGATCATGAACGTTTGGAAGGACTAAGCGCCGAGCTCGCTGACTGGCATGCAAAGGTTACCCTCTACAAGGTATGATAAGCTGTTAAGAACAGGCAGTTTCCAATATTACCTAATCTGAATAAAACTACATGAAGAAAATACCCATAATCCTATATATGGCTCTGTTTAGTTGCGCTGATACTTTACAATAAGCATCTCCAAAATGAATGTGTATTGTGTATTTGTTAACTTTGAATATTCAATAACAAAGAATATTAAGTGTTGACAACATATGTGTTGCTATGGCAACAAGGGGAAGGCATAAACTCTGATAATTTGTGCATAGATTTGACTGTAACTAAAAGAAAATTGGTGACCCATCTTTTTTATTCCATGTATCAAAAGAGCCTGATATTGTTTAATTCTTGATGACAATTAAAAGGTGTCCTAAAGCTGTTTTAACGGCTATTCCACCTCAAGAAATGTGCTAGCCTGCAAAGCTTCTGCCCGATTTCTTTACATTTCTTGTTTTGATTTGTTTATTTTTAGTAATTTACAGTTTTTAATTGATTAACCCATTAAGCGGCAATGCGCTCTACTTTGGTTTTTACTCTGTTTAACGCCAGATGATTTTACTTGTCAAGGGGATATTAATAACCCTAATGGGTTAATAAAAGAGATAACACTGCATGTTTTTACTCTGCATAATTTATAACTATTATGCAGCAAGACTCACCAACAATTAAATTTGTCTGGCATTAGACAGAGTATATGAGTTAAACACAGGGGTATAACTGGAGGGGGGCGTGAAGCAATTGCCCCCCATTTGTCTGAACTGGTGTTGTGAAAAGTTCAAATCTAGCAAGATAAAATTCAAGGGAGAATTTTTTTTTGAGAAATTGGTTTCAAAATGCTTAATTATTCCTCCCTCCCAAACAAATGAACCTGCCCCAGTTAAAACTAAGTAATAGTGCTGAATTAATCAGTGTAATGTGAGCCCTTGGAGTATAAATGAAAACTAATTGATTCTAAACAAGAATGACATATATTTTCTTTTGAATAAAAAATATAATTTTAACTTTATTAGAATGAATTTGACATGTTTGTAAAGCATGGGTCAGCTTGTGAAGTGGGCACAACAAGAGCAAGCATGAATCGGACGCACAAAACAAATGCTACTAAGGGAATTTATAATTCATACAACGAGTACAAAGAATTTCACACCAGAGAGGTTGAGGGGCATATTTGTGCAGCTTTTATGGAAATGGCTAAAATGACCACATTAACAGGTAATGTATGTGCTTTCTTTGAATAGATTATAATAAATAAAATCAAACATTCCATTTGACTGATTCATTAAATACAAGTCATGTTTATTAGCTATTAATTTTTTAATTATATAAAGATCAACCTACACTGGATCAGGATATGCCACCAATGTCATCACCCTTCTGTGTTAAAAGTAAATGGCTTACTGATGCATGTGAAAAGCTGATTGACAATTGCATTTCCTTGTCTGGGGATATTACAAGACTAGTGAATCAGACGATTGATTTTGGTCAGATCTCACAAGGACCATTTGCTTGCAGACATGCTGGTTGCAAATATGAATATGTTTATCATTCTGGAAGAGTCAAGTAAGAAAATATATATATTCTATTTATTAAACCATTAAGGGCCAGCGCTTTCCCCTTGACAAGTAAAATCGTCTGGAGACAGAGTATAAACCTCAGTGGGGTGAATCAGGGCGCATTGCCACTTAATGGGTTAACCGGACCTTAAGTAGATGTAGCTTCCACATTAGCCTGTTTACATTAATGGCCGGACAACTTTGCAGGTTACCATATTTTGTACACATGCAAATATTTTTCTTTGTTCTTAACCCACTCTTTATCGTCCGGCGATAAATTTGATATTTTTCATTGAATTACTTCTGATGAAAATATCTCGACGAGTATTCACCCCCCTTTAAAACCGAAACCACCATTGGAATCCTCAAATAATAACCTTTCGAACGGAGGGTGAAATGCCGTCATAACATTACACCAACCAAAACAATCGTATATTTTACTCACCGCTTGGCCAAACATTTTGAATTTGATATCAAGAGAATCTTGAATATGTCTTGAACTCTTCGGTATTCGCCTCATATCAATATAAGTAAAATACTCCTTGTATTCAAGCGCTTTTGTGTAGAAAATTTCGTTTGAATAGGGCCACTTGAAATATTTATTTTGAATTTTTCAATATATCGGGTTTTTACTCGCACGCGCGTGTCTCGTGATAAAATTGTCCAATAAGGAGCTCCTGTAGCCCCATGCACGTGCAAATTACGCTGTAGGGGTAATTTGACCTTTAGAATCGATTTCCGACGTTTCCCGAGTGATGGGATGTAAGCACGCAATGTTTTGGCAAATCTAATATGAATTTCCGGTTGAAGCTCTCGCGTAAAATTTGGATATTTTGAAATACCAAAATAAAAGATGCAAATCTGTAGATATAAGCTTGAAAATAACACTCTAAATAGTGTTTTTGATTGTGAATCGAACAAGACTATTACGAAAAAGATATCTTGAAAGGGGCCGAGTTATGGTCGGCGAAAGGTATGCCTTAGTAAACATTGTTTACATATTTCGGGATTATTGTGTAATATAATGAAATATGAAGTCGCTTGACCTCTAAAGGTCGTAAATCGCTAAAATATTGACATTTTACTAACTCTATCGATAGGAAATTTCCTACTGAATCGAACAGTGTTATTTCCATCTACATAGCATGCACTGAACCAAAGATATAAATCTCCGAAGAACCAGGACGGTCCAGTCCTGGTCTAATTGGCACCGGACGAAAAAGAGTTAAGCAGCAATGTGCCTGACGGCCCTACTTTGGTTTTTACTCTGTCTAACACCAGACAATTGTACTTGTCAAGGGGAGAACGTTTGGCAAGGGGAGAACGAACGGCGAATGGGTTAAACACAACCATATGTCTATATACATACCCTTCTGTGTATGAAATGTGAGGAAATACCATTAACCTGCGCATGGAAATGAGTCTATTCGGGAAAATGCAATGAATTATTAGGTCAGCTGTAGTGTTAGAATGCACATATACCCTATTGCCACGCATATAAGTGCAGCGCCTATAAGGGGAATCCATATATATATATAATATGTGGTTTGGTCCACGAAACACTAGAGAGTGCTCAATATCATATAGATAGAGCGAAATACAAAAAGTTTTGCTTACCAAAAGTCATCCACTACAGTCTGTTTCATCCATGAAGGAATCATCAAATGGTAGACAATAATGAAAAAAGATGCTGCTTAAGTAAGCGTATCATGTCATACATTAGGATTCCATTCATTGTCATCAACACCTACTCGCACGCATTTCAGCCGGAAGCAATGAAGTCCTTATCTTTTCATCCTTTGTTGCGAACACCCACACCAGTAGTATAGTAGGTGGTTTTCGATCCGGATTTTTGAGGTGGTGGATGAGGTGGTGTGAGGTGGTGGAGTGTGAGGTGGTGGAGTTTTGAGGTGGTGGGTGTCCACCACCTCATTTATAATTAATACTCGTACAATTGAGGAGGAGTAATGACGTCACTCATTAACATACGTCATAATTATATGCAATGACATCACGCGGGCGAGTTTAAACCATTGAACTAAAAATAACTGGAACGCTACGTTCAGTAAACTGCGCATGCAAATTTTGAAGCCAAAATTTGACTCCCATGAAGCCAAATGAAGCCAGTTTTGACTCCCAGACACGCACTTTCACGCGTGTTTCTACTGCGCGATTTACTCGCGAGACAATGCAGGGGGCGCTCGAAGCATGCCGTTTTGAATGTTTTCATGGCAGGATGCAAATCGAAAGGGAAACGGGCCTTTTCAATTTTAAACGGGCCTTTTAAAGCCTGTGTACGACCTTGTAGAATTTAGCTTCAAATTTCCGCTTGAACGTAGCGTTCCAGTTATTTTTAGTTCAATGGTTTAAACACGATCGGGCGAAACTTGCTGACTACGCATTTTTTAGCGTCCCTCCACGTGTATGATACAATAGTTAGGGCTATACACAAGAGAATATGTTGTTGTCTGCAGTATTATAAGTACAGCTCTGGCATTTTGCTGTTATTGTCAAGTGATTCCTTTAATTTAGCTCCTAGAGGAGTAAAAAATCTGATACTATATGAAATAGCATTAGTGTTATATATCTAAAACTTATATATTCTGGGTATACAGCTATATGTTTTGTTTTTAAGTAATATATAAATATTATCAAGCGTCAAAACGCTGAGAAGTAGAATGCGGTAAGAGTTATCATATATCTACAATTAAAATAATATTTGGCTAAATCCCGGTCTGCCATATGAGGTCTATATACGAGAAAATATGTTGCTGTCTAGGGTTATATAAACACATGATATATAATTGTCAAGTGATTTCTATATTTTATTGGTAGTTTTTTAAAGTACTAAAACTTGGATAAGTTTAATAAATTTAAGCTATATTAAAGCACATCGGTTGCTATGTGTTGTTAGGGTGAAACTAATTAAAGGATTAACTTTTACCAGAGATTTGCATTTTTCTACTGTGTGGATAAATACGGGTAGATTAGGATATTCATTGCGCGGGCGTCGCGGGTTATCCGTGCCGGAAGAGAGAAAGCGATCTAGACAAGACAGGAGCGCTTTGCAGCCAAAAGTTGAAAGACTTTGTGTGGAATCCTGTAATGGTTGTCAAGTTGGTCATCCTAGTCAAAGACAACATGACTACCTCATGATGAATGAAAACGAACTTTGGCAAATAAGGAATCTATTCGTCACAAAAATCAAGACATATTTTAAACTAAACAGTTCCTAATCCCGAGTTGTCAACGTCGTTGTTAAGGTTAATATTTACATGTTGTTCAACGTTATTTTAGCAAATATTCTACATACATATATACTGTTAACATGACCGAGTCAGATCATAAGTAAGCTTATCAAGAATATAAGTTAGAACTGGAACAGTTGTAATATATTTTGCGATAAAAACATGTAATCGTTATATACGTTGTTGTCACTTGTTTCAGGGGTTTCGCTCTCAGATTCTTCATCATAGCTACTTTCATTATCGAGGTTGCTTTCATCTAAGATATTGATATCCTAAGATACTGATATCCTAAGATACCGATATCCTAAGATACTGATATCCTAAGATATTGATAACCTAAGATATTGATATCCTAACATATTGATAACCTAAGATACTGATATCCTAAGATACGGATATCCTAAGAAAATGATAACCTAAGATACGGATATCCTAAGAAAATGATATCCTAAGAAAATTATATCCTAAGATCCTGATCAGCTCCTTAGGCTCGGAGCCGAGCTCCTTGGGCTCGGAGCCAGCTCCTTAGGCTCGGAGCCAGCTCCTTAGGCTCGGAGCTAGCTCTTTAGGCTCGGAGCCAGCTCCTTAGGCTCGGAGCTAGCTCTTTAGGCTCGGAGCCAGCTCTTTAGGCTCGGAGCCAGCTCCTTAGGCTCGGAGCTAGCTCTTTAGGCTTGCAGCCAGCTCTTTAGGCTCGGAGCCAGCTCCTTAGGCTCGGAGCCAGAGCTCTTTAGGCTCGGAGCTAGCTCTTTAGGCTCGGAGCCAGCTCCTTAGGCTGGGAGCCAGCTCCTTAGGCTCGGAGCCAGCTCTTTAGGCTCGGAGCCAGCTCCTTAGGCTCGGATCCAGCTCCTTAGGCTCGGAGCAAGCTCTTTAGGCTCGGAGCCAGCTCCTTAGGCTCGGAGCTAGCTCTTTAGGCTCGGAGCCAGCTTTTTAGGCTCGGAGCCAGCTCCTTAGGCTCGGAGCCAGAAGCTTCACAGAAGCTGGCTCCGAGCCTAAAGAGCTGGCTCCGAGCCTAAGGAGCTGGCTCCGAGCCTAAGGAGCTGGCTCCGAGCCTAAAGAGCTGGCTCCGAGCCTAAGGAGCTGGCTCCGAGCCTAGAGAGCTGGCTCCAAGCCTAAGGAGC